TGGGATGGAGTGTTCTATATATGTCTTTCAAGCACAGTTGTTCTAGGGTCTCATTTAAGTTCCTTATATCTTTGTTTAATTTCTGTTTAGAGGATCTGTCTAGCTCTGTAAGAGGAGTGTTAAAGTCCCCTGTTATTATGGTGTTATAGGATATCATATTGCTCAGACTGAGTAAGGTCTGTTTCAAGAATCTGGGAGCATTTAAGTTGGGTGCATAAATATTTAGAATTGAAACATCTTCTTGTTGTATTTTTCCCTTGACCAATATAAAGTAACCATCCTTTAAATCCACATGTATCTGAAAATAAGATTGCAATTCCTCTTTTCCTCTGAATACCGTTTGCCTGAAAAATTATCTTCCAACCCTTAACTCTGAGTTTTGTCTTTTGAAGCTAGGTATGTTTCCTGCAGACAGAAAATGTATGGCTTGTGTTTTTTAATCCAGTCAGCCAATCTATGCCTTTTCAGTGGGGAATTCAAGCCATTAACATTTATTGAGATAATTGATAAGTGTGGTAGTGTTCTATTCATCTTATTTTGTGAGAGTCCATCGCTTAGTTTTATCTTTTGCATCAGAATGGAAGTTATGTTCTATCCTTCAATTTCTGAGTTCTTTGCTGTTGGTCCACTGTGATGGTCAGTGTGTAGAACAGGTTGAATTACTTGTGTAGAGCTGATCTTGTTGTGCCGAATTTCCTCAATGTTTGTATATCAGTAAATGATTTGATTTCTCTGTCAATTTTAAAGCTAAGCTTAGCAGGATATAGAATTCTGGGCTGAAAATTGTTCTGTTTAAGTACATTAAAGGTAGATGACCATTGTCTTCTTGCTTGAAAAGTTTCATTAGAGAAGTCTGCAGTCACCCTGATGAATTTGCCCCTGTAGGTCAACTGGTGCTTACTCCTGGCAGCTTGAAGAATCATTTCTTTTGTCTTGACTTTGGACAGGTTCATCATAATGTGTCTTGGAGAAGCTGTGTTAGACTTGAGGTGACCTGGGGTCCGATATCCCTCTGAAAGGAGTGTGTCAGAATCTTTGGTGCTATTTGGGAAATTTTCATTTATAATATTCTCTAGTATGGCTTCCATTTACCTGGGGCATTCTTCTTCCCCTTCTGGGATACCTATAATACATATGTTCGAACACTTCATAAAGTCCCACAGTTCTGTCAGTGAATGTTCTGCTTTCTCTCCTTTTCTGCCTCTTTAACTATCTGAGATATCTCAAGAGCTTTGTCCTCTACCTCTGAGAGTCTTTCTTCTGCATGGTATAATGTGTTGTTGATACTTTCTATTGCATCTTTAAGTTCCCTAATTGACTGCTTCATTTCCTTCAGCTCTGCTATATCCTTTCTATATTCTTCATATCATTCATCTCTAATTTGATTGTTTTTGGATTTCCTTTTGGTTATTTTCCACTTTATCAGCAGTTTCCTTCATTGTTTCCATCATTTCCTTCATTGTTTTCATCATCTGCATTCTAAATTCCCTTTCTGTCATTTCTAACATTTCTTTATAGGTGGAATCCTCTATAATAGGTACCTCACAGTCTGTTGGCGGGGGTGGGGGGGGATTGCTCTGGACTGGTTTTTCATGTTGCCAGGATTTTTCTGCTGATTCTTTCTCATGAGTATTTTCTTTTATATGTTTCCTTGCCCTAATTTTCCTTTCACTTTCTCTTGCTCTTTAAGTTACTGTGCCTCTAGACTAGGGTTTCGATGAGTCAGCAGCCGGTGGGATTAGACTGAAGGAACACACGCAACCACTTGCCAGTCCTCCACTGCTTTTGTCCTCCTCATGGGGTCCAGAAGTCTCTCATTGATTCCCTGTGTCCCCCAAAGGGATGTTTCTGGGTAGATCCCACCAGCCAGAGATGCTTGAAGTCTTCTCTCCCCAGTCTCGCCATGCTCAGTTGCAAGGAAGCTGTTACTTGGCCACCATCTTGCTCCCCTCCTATCTCAATAAATATTAATCAATCCATTAGGTTGTTAATGTGCTCTGTTTTTTTGATGTAGGCATCTAATGAGATAAATTTCCCTATTAGGACTAATTTTGCAGTATCCATAGGTTTTAATAAGTTATAGCTTCATTGTTGTTATATTTGAGAAATTTAGTGATCTCTTCCTTTATCTCCTTCTTGATCCAACTGTCATTCAGCATAAGGTTGTTTAGTTTCCATGCCTTTGTGTGAGGATGAAAATTTTTGTTGGAGTTGAGTTTAACCTTTATTACCTGAGCATCTGAAAAGATACAAGACATAATTTCAGTTCACTTAATATTGTTGAGGTTTTGATTTGTATCCTAGGATACGATCTATTTTGGAGTATGTTCCATGGAGAAGAATGTATATTCATTAGGTTTGAGATGGTATGTTCTGTACATGTCTATTAAGCCCAATTGTTCTAAGGTCACATTTAAGTACCCTTATTTCTTTGTTTAGTTTCTGTTTAGAGGATCTATATAGTTCTGTCAGAGAGGTGTTAAAGTCCCCAGCTATTTTGGTGTTATAGGATATCGTATTGTTCAGACCAATTAAGGTCCATTTCATAAATCTGGGAGCATTTAAGTTGGGTGCCATAAATATTTAGAATTAAAATTTCTTCTTATTGTCTTATTTCCTCGACCAGAAGAACATGACTATCTTTGCCTTTCTTAACTTTAGTTGTTTCAAATCCACTTGTATCTGAAAATATGATTGAGACCCCTACTTTCTTCTGAGTTCTATTTGCCTGAAATAGTTTTCCAACTGTTCACCCTGAGTCTTGTTTGTCCTTCAAGGTTAGGTGTGTTTCCTGGAGACAGATATAGATTGCTTGTGCTTTTTTTTTATCGAATTAGCCACCCTGTGCCTTGCCAGTAAGGAATTTAAGGCATTTGCATTTGTTGAGAGAATTGATATGTATGGTGTTCTATTCATCTTATTTTGTGAAAATCCATTACTTTATTTTATCCTGTGCACACTGTGGAAGCCAGATGTTGTCCTTTAGTTTGTGGGTGTTTATTTTTCTGGTGGTCCACTGTGATGGTCAGTGTGGAAAACAGGCCTGAGTATTTCCTGTAGCGCTGGTCTTATTTTGGTGAATTTCTTCAATGTTTGCATGTCAGTAAAAGATCTGATTTCTGCACTGATTTTGAAGATTAGTTTAGCTGGATATCAAATTCTGGGCTAAACACTGTTTTGTTTAAGAAGGTTAAGGGTAGATAACCACTCTCTTCTCACTTGAAAAGTTTCAGCTGAAAAGTCTGCTGACACCCTGATTGATCTTCCACTGTAGGTCAACTGGTGCTTACTTTGGGTTGCTTCCAGAATTTTCTTTCATTTTGACTTTGGACAGGTTCATCATGTGTTTTGGAGATGCTCTGTCTGTGCTGAGATGACCCAGGGTTTGATATCCCTTTAGAAGGATTCCCTTTAGTGATACTTGGGAAATTTTCTTTTATGATATCCAGTAGGGCTTCCATTCCTTTGGGTCATTCTGCTTCTCCTTCAGAGATACTTACAATTTATTATGTTTGAGCACTTCATGAAGTCCCATAATTCTCTAAATGATCACTCTGCACCTTCTTTCTTCTTTTCTGCCTCTTTAACGTCCTGTGTTACCACAAGAGCCTTATCCTCTAGCTCTGAGATTCTTTCTTCTCCATGGTGTAATCTGTTATTGATTCTTTCTACTGCATCCATACGTTCCCTGATTGACTCTTTCAATTCCTTAAGCTCTGATATATCTTTCTTCATTTCTTCATGTCTTTCATTCGTTATTAGGGTCAGTTTCTGCATTTTCTTTTATTGATTTTCCACTTTTCTTCAATTCCCTTCAGTGTTTTTGCCATCTATACTTTAAATTTCCTATTATTTCCATAGTTTTTTTATAGGTGGAATCCTTTGTGGATCTCATGATCCCTTGGCGGTGGAGTTTGATCTGTTCTGGTTTTTCATGTTGCTAGAATTTTTCTCTTGATTCCTCCTTATGTATGTTTTCTTCTTATACACTTCCTTCCCCCTACTTTTCCCTATCACTTCCTCCTTCACTTTAAATTATCTTGTCTCTATGCTTACATATTGAAGTGTCTTTTGGGTATAGGGCCAAAGGAAGAGAAGAGTAAAGAGCAAGAAGGGAGAAAAAGAAGAAAAAGATAAAGAAAGAGAGATAAAGTGGTGTGAAAGGAAAAAAAATGGAAAGAAAAAGAGGAAAAAGGACAGAAAGGGAGAGACAAGTGCAACAGTGGTGTTTGGCAGGGTTCTTTGACCCACACTAACAATTATAGGACTCTAGGGAGCTGGGTTGGGTGGGTTCCTTGAGGTCCTTACCAGCCTGAGAAAAAGCAAGACCCACACCTTGCCAAATATAGAAAAAAAATCAGCAGTATATTGCAATGGGGACCTACCAATACCTTCAGAGCAAAGGCCAAAGCAAGAAGGATACCCTAAACTAGGCCACTGCCATGACACCCCATCCCAAGCCTCAGAGTGAGGGTCTGTCTCATAAATAGAATACAGAATGAAATGGAATAAAACAGAGTAGAAAAAAGAAAAAATGATAATAAAAATAAAATCATATAAGATGTAAAAAAAAAAAAGGAGATCTTAGTTGTTGTTTGAGAAATATATGTGGGAAAGATGAGAAAAGTAGAAAAATCTCTACCAAAATAGAGAAAAAAGGAAAGAAATAGAAAAGAAAGAAAGAAAAATCTTAACAAAAATGGAGCCTTTGCTAGTCAAGAAAGTAAAATTAAAAAACTACAAAATCAAACAAAAACAAACAAAAAAGTCTAAAGAAGAAAATTGAGAAAAGAAAACAATATAAATTGCAATGTATTTCTCAGACACAAATTAGTGCTCCAAGAAGATAGGAGGTACATAACACAATGTATTGCCTGGACAACAGGTGGCACTGTGGTGTTAGAAGACTCAAGAAGCTTGAGACACACTCCCCAGTGTGAAGTCTGATGACAAGGTCCAAACTGATTAGCTGTGGTCCCCACACCTGAAAGCAACCTCACCTGTCAGGGGCTGGACATGCTCGGCTCTCATACTCTCAGAGATCACATTCTTGGGTGGATTGTTGACAGCTGGGGCTTGGAGCTCCTTCTTCTCTTGGACACGTGGAACACTAGGAAACAGTTTCTGCAGCACCTTCTCCACAAACACTGTCAGGGCAGCCAGGAGAGGGGAAAAGAATGTTATAACTTACAGCAGACTTTATAAATCAGCTTTTATTTTTAAAAACACAAGATCACCCTAACAATACCATCTGAGAGCCAAGGTCATAGGCCCTCCCCGTGGGGCACAGCACTCCAGGACCTCCCCAAACTGCTTTTCAAGGGACAACCCTGCACTGTTTCCAGGGGACCTAGACTCTGACCTTAGATGACTCCAGACACTGCCCCTGGGGGATCCCTAACGCTGTCCTGGGGGACCTCCAACACCATCCCTGGTGGGACCACAGACACCATCCCTGAATGACCCCTAATGCTTTCATAGTAAGAAACTCCTGCTCTCTAACCTGCAGCTGACTGCCCCCTAGGGGCACAGCCCAGTGATAGCAAGTGTATGGCCACAGCAGTGCTGCCCAGGTGGTATAATCAGGTATCTGTGCTCCTGGTCACTAGGGTTCTCCCTGTCAGGTTTTATCTGTGAAGTCAGAGTTGGGGCTCGGGTGACCTTTCTGAAGATCAGGCCACACGGTACTGAGAAACCAGGGGGTGGTCAGCTGGCCAGGCCAGTGGAGGAGGCACCAGGACAGGGATAACCCCCCAGTCCCCCCACTGCAGGATGGCGCAGTCTGGTCTCTCCCTTAACGTGAACGTACCAACAACAGTAGTTGAGGATAGATTCTGTGTAGTTAATATGGTTTAACAAGTATGTGAACTTTTTTTACTTTGTTTATTCTAGTTTACCTTGTGTTTTAACTAGAGGGGGAAACACTGTCATAGTGAATATTTCTGTCTTGAATTAAGTGTGTCAATGAACAGGAACTGATCTCAAAATAGCACACTGAAAAATGTGAGGGAGAAAAGTTTACGAAATGTATTTTTTTTTTTTTAACATTGTAAGCTACAGAAACAAAAACATGGCAATCTTCTTTGGAGTGACCAAAATTTCTGGGGCAGAAATCAGAGTGGATTGGGAAGCTGCAGCAGGGAAGACCCCTCGGCCCTGCCCGGGACTCTGCTTGCAGACACAGTACTTCCTGACTTCATCCTGTTCTCAGGTAAAATGCTGACAGGACCAGCTGTGACGACACAACATGGTTTGAAATACAGAAGGAGGGAGGATGGATGGAGGGAGGGTGATTGGTGGGACCACAGCTACGGTGCATCTTACAAGGGTACATGTGAAACTTACTAAATGTAGAATATAAATGTCTTAACACAATAACTAAGAACATGCCATGAAGGCTATGTTAACCAGTTTGGTGAAAATATTTCAAATTGTACATAGAACCAGCACATTGTACCCCATGATTGCATTAATGCACACAGTGATGATTTAATAAAAAGAAAAAAGAAAAAATGAAATACAAAAGGACTCCTTGCAGCACCGTTACTGATACTTCCAGTGACCTCCTCAGAGCAGGGTCACTTTTCATGTGACAAGTGTGGTCACATGAAAAGGGTGGTCACTAACACCACCTCTGCCCCCCTGGGAGTAAAAGCCTCCTTCAGGTGGGAGGAAGATGCCTGTTTAAGTGGAAAACATGAACCGTAACACTAGGTCCTGGCAATGAGAGATTCCCCATATCCTATTTTTTTCAAATACTACATACAGTTGTCCTTTGTGCAGGACCCTGCCAAAACCTAGTTCCCAGAGGACTTGCCAGGTGAGCTATCCCAGACCCATCTTCAGAAAGGCCTGGGATGGCTGACCCATGTGGACCACACCTCCGAGTTTTGCCCATCCAGGGAGGACCAGAGACAGTGTCTATGTAACATTCCTACAAAGGACTGCAGGGCTTGGAGTCATATCCACAAGGGACATTCCAAGGTTTCAGATAAAAATCAAATTGTCATGTGTTATTTCCTTTAAATGGCAAAGAAGTAAGTATCTAATTCTGGATGACTAGGTTGGTAATCTATAAGTTATCAATGAACTAAAATTTTCATAAACCTGAACAGATTCTAAGATAAATGGTAACCAGTCATCATGTTTTATAATCAAGGACAAGGAAGCTCAGAGCTAAGGACTGGCTGGGACCAGTGGAATCCAGACATGCAGCTAAAGCCATCTGCAGGATGCAGCTCCCGTATGTGTCTGCTGCATCTAAAAACACGAAAATACTGAGAGAAAGGCAAGGAAATGCCTGCGGCAGGTGCAGCACGGACCAGAGCCCCAGGGTGGGGCCAGCAAGGGAAACGCCGACCTTAAAGTGCAGGAAGCAGAGTGAGGACCTGGCCAGCAGCTCCTCCTCCCATGTGACAAGCACATGCTGAAGAACTGATTTTCAAGGAGATTGGGCAGCACTTCCCTGAATTCTGTTAAACCTACAGCCTAATTAATGGTTGTTTTCCACCAATACTATTAAATTGCATGTTGCAAATAAAAGTATTTGGTACAGATACGCCACTGTCACAAGGTCCAGGGAACCACCCTAAAGTCAGTCGGTGGGCATGCACAGATGGATGGATACTGGGAGGTATTTCTGCACCAAGTTAACAACACAAAACAGGTCACCCTGAAACCACAACCCCTGCCTTCCGTTACACAGGCTGTTTCTCAGGGAGATTTGTGTAACAACTCCATGGACTCTGACAGCCAAGTGCTGACCCTCAGCACAGCTCCCAGATCCCCCAGGATGCTGTGGCCTTTAGGACTCAGTTGGGCCTGCCAGACACTCAGGTGGCACCCCCAGTTGGAGGTTTAGGACAGGGTCCTTCCTCAAGGAGGAGACTTGGTCCAGACCTGGGTGGTCCAGGCATACAGGGTGTCGGGAGTCCATCCTCAGCCCTGCTTGCTGAGAGTGAGCTCGGGTTGGGGGTTGTAGGGCTGAGCCCATAGGGCTTCATTTTGCAGGGCCTATGTCTGCCATGGATCAGGATGGCCAAAAGCATCCCTTTCCACCACAATCCAATTCTGATGAGCTCAGCCAGTTTAGGCACCCAGGCCCCACGACAGGGGTTCTTCATGAGGGACAGCATGGAGAAGACCCCTGGCCAGAGGCCTGAGCGCCATCCCTCAGGTAACCCACTGGGCAGCAGAGACAAGGGACTCGGGCACTGAGGAGGGTGGGGCAGGCCTGTGATCCTGGGCACTCAGTCAGATACTGCGGAGCTGCAGCCACTCCAAGAAATGTCACCTTCCCAAGCCTCAGTGCATGGCTCTCCAGGGATGGAGGCTTAGGACTGGCCCTGGCTGGTGCTGGAGCTGGAGCTAGATGGGCCTGAACAGCACTGCCTCCTGCCTGGACCCTCATTTCTGTCTCCATTTCCATCTCTTCCCCAACTCAAGCCCTCCCAGCCTACTGGCTCCTCAGAGCTCATCCGCCACTGCAACACCCCAGCCCTTTCTTCCTCTTGATATCCCCCTCACGTGTGATCCTGGGCGTGCAGAGCCCATCTGCCCATCAGGCCTTTGCCAGCGGGCCCAGAGTCTGCCCCTGCACCCAGCGCGTCTCCAAGTTAGTTACTGTGTAGTATCATCCTAATCTGTGCTTGTCTAGTGTCTTGTTATGATGAGACTGAGGTTACTGACTTTTGATAGCAATGATGCAAGCAGGGTGTTTATTCCCAACACATCCCCTTGGGGGTCAGACGTTGACCTGTCTCACTCTGCAGAAGTGAACCATGCTCACCACCTGGGTTTCTCCCTGCAGAATTGCTCTTTTTTCTCATTGTAATTAATAAACACCTTGGGGAAGATACTTGATGACCAAGTACTTTTTCTCCTCAATTTTACTAATTTTAGCATAAACTGAGAGATGTGGCCTGCTGCAGCCACATTTGTAATGGTCACCTGGTGGTGTCAACCCAACTCTGACCAGGTTTATTAAGTGGAAAATGCTGCACAGAAGAGCTGCCCACCTCCCACTTTATTTGCTGACTGTATTATTGCCTTTTTATTATTTATTCATTTACAGATGCACGGATATCTCATTTGTTCTAGGGTTATAACCTTGTACTGCTTCTTATATTCTGCTGCTCAAATCATCCCCTGGGCATGACCCCAGCATAGATGGTGCCCTTTGCCATGCCTGGGCCTTCCATGAGCTTGGGCCCTTTGGGCACAGCAGGATGCTACAGGCTAACCTATGTTTCCTCTGCCTAAGACGGGAACCAACTCTTCTCCAAGGAGCCTGGCACTTGGAAAGCAGGATGGAGCATGAGGTGCACTCCTGGGCACCACCGTTATCCTCTGAGCACATCTGAACCACGTCAGGCCTTTGCTCAAGAATCGCCAAATACTTTGCACAAATGAGCTGTTGGAGGGGCAGGAAGGTCTTAGACATCCACAAAGACAAATAAGGTGTATGAGTAGGGAATGGAGGTGGCACAGATCTAACCAGGAGCAGGAACACTGGCACACCTGTGGAGAAGAAAAAGGACACACCCACCCCGAGCCACACCCACCCATGGGTCTATGAGCCACAAAACTGACACTCGGGATGACGGACAGTTTCCCAAAGACAGCAAGCAGGACGTAAGAATGCAGGAGCCCACACTGCTTAAACCTTTTAAATAGAAATGAATATAAATACAATGTAAGTATAAAAATTTTGTCCTTGGGGCAGTGCCTGTGGCTCAAAGGAGTAAGGTGCCAGCCCCATATGCCGGAGGTGGCAGGTTCAAACCCAGCCCCAGCCAAGAACTGCAAAAAAAAAAGAAAAGAAAAGAAAAAATTTAGTCCTTGAAGTTTACCCTCCCAGGTCATTACGTGGAGGGTGGAGTGGGGAGGATGCCCTGGGGACGTGGATGTGCTAATTCATCAAGGTTGAGAAGTTGTCTATCAAATGGGAAGGATGATTTCCTTTGTAGATTTGAACTTCAGCACAGCAGTCCAAAAAAACTAAAAAAGAAAACCTTTCATTATCCTAAGCTATATTGGTTTAAGTATCTTGTAAGCCCAAGTGGCTGGAAGGATTTGCATCATGCAATAGTGTGTTCAAAAGCCACATAAGCAAAAACACATCCTCTCTAGGCGGCATACTTCCTGA